CCCTCCTCCTCCACTTCCTTCTTCTTCTCCTCCTCCTCCTCTTCTTCTCCCCCCCCTCCTCCTCCTCATATTCCCCTCCTTCCTTCTCCTTCTCTTTCCCTTTCTCCTTCTCCTTCTCTTTCTCCTTCTCCTTCCCCTCCTCCCCATCCTCCTCTTTTCCCCTTCTCTTTCTTCTTTTTTTCCTCCCTTTCTTCTTCTCCTTATCCCCTTCCTCCTCCTCCCCCCTCCTTTTCCCTTCTCTTTCTTCTTCTCCTTATCCCCTTCCTCCTCCTCCCCCCTCCTTTTCCCTTCTCTTTCTTCTCTACCTCCGCCTCCTAATTTTTCTCCTCCTTCTTTTCCTTCTCCTCCTTCTTCTTCTCCTTCTCCTCCTCCTCCTATTTCTCCTCCTTCTTCTCCTTCTCTTCCTCCTCCTTCTCCTTGTCCTCCTTCTCCTCCTTCTCCTCTTCCTCATCTTACTCTTCCTCCCCTTCCTACTCAACCTCCTTCTCCTCTTCCTCCTCCTCCTCCTACTCTTTCTTCCCCTCCTGCTCCGCTTCCTTCTTCTTCTCCTCCTCCTCTTCTTCTTCTCCTTCCTCTTCCTCCCCCTCCTCCTCCTCTTCTCCTTCTTCTCCTCCCTCTCCTCCCAATAATGGATTCCAAGCAGAGTAAACTTGCCATCATTGAGTTGTTGATGGAGGAGGGGTGCAGGCTGTCTGAAAACCAACAGAAGGCTACAGAATGTTTGTAGAGAATGACACCAAAGCCTTGTGCATGACGACAGCATGCATTATGAGGGATAATAATCAGGTTTTGATGGGGGGGCCCAGAGCTATTACTTTACCAGAGACAGTGAGCTGAAAGGGGTCGGGCGCACAAGTCATGTTGCCAAGGTGAGCACCCTGCTCAGCAGCAGATCTGTTATTACGGGCTGGTGGTCTAGGCGGCAGCGCTGATGGGGCAGTTTGAGGACCACGGTCTGCCATCTAGTGACCGCTGCCCTAGATGATCTTCTCCTCTTTACCCAGCAATCTGGAGGTATCCCTGAACAGGGGATCTGGTTCCTGTCTCTTTAAATAGGTGATCAGTCACAAGTAGGGGGCTAATCTGGTTTCCTTCCCTTATCTGCTCAGAGGGGCGTAGGTGTAATCTCTCAGATCCTCTCCTGTACTACTATTGGGTTGGCTGCTGATACCAAGCCTATCAGCTGGGCTGCTCCTTCCCTGCCATACAGGTGGTTCTCTCTCTGGGGGCCAGTGAGGTCCAAGTTTCTACCTTTCCATCTCCAAGCTTGCAGGCAGGCCCCATCCCATTTGGCCTCCTAGCAGCCTCCTTCCTCACAGCCTCACATCTTCCCCCTCTTTCTTCCACCTGACTCTTCTCCCACACTCCACACTTCTGCCTCTGAGCAGGCGCCAACACATTTTAAGGGTGTCCAGCCCCTTGCCAACGACTTGTTGGGGATTAGCTAGGACCCCTCATGAATGATGCCATCCACTCCTCAGATCCACCCATTGCCTCTAAGGCCTTCCTCCAAATGTCCTAGAACAGGGGGAAATTCAAGAAGGGCTGTCCTGCAGAACCTCTCAGACCAGACCACAATTAGACCCCTCTCTGGCTATTGCACCTGGGCTGCTGCTAAGTCCCCGTATAACCACTGGAGTCTAGCTCCCCCTAGCTGAACTAGGAGGGTGCTGCATAATGACAAATATATTGATGAATAAACAGATCCATAGCAGAAATGTAAGAAACCTCTTTGGTCTATAGGAGGCATACAAGGTGAGAGGGCAAGTAGTCAATTTAGATCAGTGGTTCTCAACCTGTGGGTCGTGACCCCTTTGGGGGTCGAACGACTCTTTCACAGGGGTCCCCTAAGACCATCAGAAAACACATATTTCCGATGTGTAAAGAGCAGCTACTGTGTAGAAAGCAGCTGCTGTGTTGAAAGCAGCTACTCTGTTAAAAGCAGCTACTGTGTTGAAAGCAGCAGTATTGGAGGTAAAACGACACTCATGAATTATAATTACTGGGTAAATAATTTTATGGTTGGGGGTCACCACAACATGAGGAACTGCATTAAAGGGTCACGGCATTAGGAAGGTTGAGAACCACTGCTTTAGATGAAGAAATTGGGGTCACAGAAATAATGGCTAATGGATTAGTAGGGAAAATGGGGGGCAGCAAAGAATGGGGGTGGGGGCAGGACAACATTTGCACCAGGGTCTTTGTCTGCTCAAAATCGATGAGCGCACATATGTTTCTTCTGAATATTCACATCGTTTTAATAAACGGCGGTGCCAATTAATAACCGCAGACAGCCTCACCCTGCATGTATTTCTGCGCTTCCAATCTGACGTCTGCATCATGTGCGACTCGAGTAGGCAGCCGCCCGGGAGCCAAAGAGTTCGACTCTGACATGAGGTTAATGCAGAAATCAAATGTGTATGCCGCATCCTTCACCTTCATAGGATTCATCATTCATTACATGTTAATGAGCTCCGGATTAACACAACTAATGCTCAACAAACAAACAAAAAAGAATGGTAATCATCATTGCGCCCTGATATGGAGACTGAAATGGGCTGGAGTTGTGAAGAATCAAAGCTGAAGTTTAATTTGCTAATATTTTGACTTCCCTGACTTCTCCCTCCCCACCCCCGTCCGCATGGTAATGAAATTAATGGGGTGTGTTACCCTATTGACATTATTGCTGAGTCTCCTAATTACATTTTTAATGAAAAGCTTTCTCCTTTAATTATATACTCACCCACCTACCGCCCTATAGCGGATATACTGCTACAGGGTGGCCGCTCTGCGCTAAATCACATAAATATACGTGATTTTGCATTTCTGGGTAAAGGGCGCGTGCATGCGCACTGCCCTGCCTGTGCTGCCATTGATTGCAGGGGATGTCAATCACAGGGTCCTGGCCTGGGATTGACATCCCCCCACCTACCGCCTTATAGCAGATATACTGCTACAGGGTGGCCGCTCTGCGCTAAATCACATAAATATACGTGATTTTGCATTTCTGGGTAAAGGGTGCGTGCACGCGCGCTGCCCTGCCTGTGCTGCCATTGATTGCAGTGGATGTCAATCACAGGGTCCTGGTCTGTGATTGACATCCACCACCTACCGCCCTATAGCAGATATACTGCTACAGGGTGGCCGCTCTGCGCTAAATCACATAAATATACGTGATTTTGCATTTCTGGGTAAAGGGTGCGTGCACGCGCGCTGCCCTGCCTGCGCTGCCATTGATTGCAGCGGATGTCAATCACAGGGTCCTGGCCTGTGATTGACATCCATCCACCTACTGCCCTATAGCAGATATACTGCTACATGGTGGCCGCTCTGCGCTAAATCATGTAAATATACGTGATTTCGCATTTCTTGGTAAAGGGCGCGTGCATGCGTGCCGCCCTGCCTGCGCTGCCATTGATTGCAGCGGATGTCAACCACAGGGTCCTGGCCTGTGATTGACATCCACCCACCTACTGCCTTATAGCAGATACTGCTACAGGGCGGACGCTCTGCGCTAAATCACATAAATATACGTGATTTTGCATTTCTGGGTAAAGGGTACATGCACACGTGCCGTGCTGCCATTGATTGCAGCGGATGTCAATCACTGGGTCCCACCCGATACTCAGAGATCGCCGCTAAAGCTGAGAGGGGAGAGATCTGTATGTGAACAACACAGATCTCTCTCCTGTCAGCATGGACATGCTGCTTTCTATCTCTCTACACAGCAGAGAAATACAAAGCAGCATGTTGCCCTAGTAAAACACACATCACACAGTTAACCCTTTGATCGCCCCACATGTTAACCTTTTCCTGCTCAGTGCCATTAGTACAGTGTCAGTGCTCTTTATTAGCATTGATCTCTGTATTGGTGTCACTGGGGATGTCAGTGACACCAAGTCAGTCCCCCCCCCCCAGTGTCAGAATGGCCGCCGCAGTCCCGCTATAAGTCGCTGATCACCGCCATTACTGGTAAAAAATAAATAAATTCATTACAATTCCCATTATATATCCCGCCATTTGTAAACGCGATCACTTTCACGGAAACCAATTAATTTACACAAACTGGGATTCTTTTTAGTGAAGACACGGAGAAGAATACATTTTGGCCGAAATTTATGACGAAATTTTATTTTTTTACATTTTTTTTTACAGGATATGTTTTATAGCAAAAAGTCAAAAATATTGGCAGTTAGTCAGTCCCCCCCCAGTGTCAGAATGCCCACCGCAGTCCCACTATAAGTCGCTGATCGCCGCCATTACTAGTATAAAAATAAATAAATAAAAATTCCAGTATATGTACCGCGATTTGTACACGCTATAACTGTCACTCACGTAAATCAATTCATTTACATGTCGTGGGATTTTTATTTTGGAGCAGAATCCATTTTGGCCTAAATTTATGACGAAATTTGAATTTTATAAAAAATTTTTATTGGATATGTTTTATAGCAAAAAGTCAAAAATATTGTTTTTTTTCAAAATCGATGATTTTTTTGGTTATAAAAAAATAAAAAGCATGCAGACTGAAAGGCAACTGGACCATCGTATGTGTCTGGCCTTTCCTGTATAGCGGTGCATGGACCGACAAATCTAAGAGTCAGCCTTTTCCAACAGTCAGAAAGATAGTTGAGAATTTATGCCTGTGGATTATGATTACAAAGGGGTAATAAAATATAATGAACATTCGGTAATTCAGTCGTTTGCATGACAATTGGGCTGCAGGAATGTTTTCTAAAGTCATAATAAAATAAAACGTAACTGTGAATTAAAACGAACATTACAGCGGCGGGAGCCATCAATTCTCTAATGCTAAAAAATAGAATCCCAAATAAACGTTACACCACATACCATACGGATTGCCAGACAGAGAAGCGTGATTGGTCAATACAGAGAACACGTCTCCACTGCTCTAGAGTCCAGTGGCGGCGTGCTTTACACCATGGCATCAGACGCTTTGCATTGCACTTGGTGATGGAAGGTTTGGATGCAGCTGCTCGGCCATGGAAGCCCATTCCATGAAGCTCTCTACACACTGTTGTTGGGCTCATCTGAAGGCCACACCAAGTTTGGAGGTCTTTAGCTATTGACTCTGCAGACAGTTGGTGACCTCTGCGCACTGTGCGCTTCAGCATGCGCTGACCCCGCCCTGTCATGTGACGTGGCCTACCACTTGGTGGCTGACTTGCTGTTGTTCCCAGTTGCTTCCACTTTGTTATAATCCCACTAACAGTTGAGCGTGGAATATTTAGTAGCCAGGGAAGGTTGGACCATTCTTCCAGAAGCACATTTGTCAGGTCAGGCACTGATGTCGGGGGAGGAGGCCTGGCTCGCAGTCTCCGCTCCAATTCATCCCAAAGGTGTTCTATGGGGTTGAGGTCAGGACTCTGTGCAGGCCAGTCAAGTTCCTCCACCCCAAACTGGCTCCTCCATGTCTTTATGGACCTTGCTTTGTGCACTGGTGTGCAGTCATGTTGGAACAGGAAGGGGCCATCCCCAAACTCTTCCTACAAAGTTGGGAGCATGAAATTGTCCAAAATTTCGCCTTAAGATTTCCCTTCACTGAAACTAGGGGGCCAAGCCCTCCCCTGAAAATCAAACCTACACCATAATCCCCCCTCCACCAAACTTTACACTTGGCACAATGCAGTCAGGCAAGTACCGTTCTCCTGGCCACCGCCAAACCCAGACACGTCCATCGGATTGCCAGACAGAGAAGCGTGACTGGTCACTCCAGAGAACATGTCTCCCCTGCTCTAGAGTCCAGTGGTGGTGTGCTTTACACCACGGCATCCGACGCTTTGCATTGCACTTGGTGATGGAAGGCTTGGATGCAGATGCTCGGCCATGGAAACCCATTCCATGAAGCTCTCTACTCACTGTTGTTGGGCTCATCTGAAGGCCACACCAAGTTTGGAAGTCTTTAGCTATTGACCCCGCCCTGTCATGTGACGTGGCCTACCACTTGGTGGCTGAGTGGCTGTTGTTCCCAGTTGCTGCCACTTTGTTATAATCCCACTAACAGTTGAGCGTGGAATATTTAGTAGCCAGGAAATGTCACGGATGGACTTATTGCACAGGTGGCCACCTATCACGGGACCACGCTTGGAGTCACTGAGCTCCTGAGAGCGACCCATTCTTTCACCAATGTTTGTAGAAGCAGTATGCATGCCTAGGGGCTTGATTGTATACACCTGTGTCCATGGAGGGGATTGGAACACCTGAATCACATGATATAGAGGGGATTGGAACACCTGAATCCAATGATTTGGAGGTTGGGGCCAATACTTTTGATAATATAGTGTACTGTTGCTTGGGGGGTATTTTATGTATAATACATAAGGGGGGGATATGATCTCCATGTATAATACATAAGGGGGGATATGATCTCCATGTATAATACATAAGGGGGGGATATGATCTCCATGTATAATACATTAGGGGGGATATGATCTCCATGTATAATACATAAGGGGGGATATGATCTCCATGTATGTATAATACATAAGGGGGGATATGATCTCCATGTATAATACATAAGGGGGGTATATGATCTCCATGTATAATACATAAGGGGGGATATGATCTCCATGTATAATACATAAGGGGGGATATGATCTCCATGTATAATACATAAGGGGGGATATGATCTCCATGTATAGTACATAAGGGGGATATGATCTCCATGTATAATACATAAGTGGGGGATATGATCTCCATGTATAATACATAAGGGGGATGTGATCTCCATGTATAATACATAAGGGGGGATATGATCTCCATGTTTAATACATAAGGGGGGGGATATGATCTCCATGTATAATACATAAGGGGGGATATGATCTCCATGTATAATATATAAGGGGGGATATGATCTCCATGTATAATACATAAGGGGGGCATATGATCTCCATGTATAATACATAAGGGGGGATATGATCACCATGTATAATACATAAGGGGGGATATGATCTCCATGTATAATACATAAGGGGGGATATGATGATCTCCATGTATAATACATAAGGGGGGATATGATCTCCATGTATAATACATAAGGGGGGATATGATCTCCATGTATAACACATAAGGGGGATATGATCTCCATGTATAATACATAAGGGGGATATGATCTCCATGTATAATACATAAGGGGGGATATGATCTCCATGTATAATACATAAGGGGGATATGATCTCCATGTATAATACATAAGGGGGGGATATGATCTCCATGTATAATACATAAGGGGGATATGATCTCCATGTATAATACATAAGGGGGGATATGATCTCCATGTATAATACATCAGTGGTTCATATAATGAACTCTGTGTAGTCATTCCCCCTGAGGTCATCACAGAGGACAAGGGGGGGCGCTCTTTACATCTGGAGGAAAATAAATGTAATCTGCAAACACGGAAAGGTTTCTTCACAGTAAGAGCTGTGAGAATGTGGAATAGACTCCCTCCAGAGTTGGTTGTGGCCTGCTCAGTGGATTGCTGTAGGAAAGTCCTGGATTCTTTCTTGGATACACAGAATATAACTGGATATAACATTTATAGGGAAAGGTGATCCAGGAAATATCCGATCGCCTCTCAGGGGATCAGGAAGGAATTTTTTTCCCTGCAAGAGCAAATTGGGCTGTGCTTTGCTGGGTGTTTTTGCCTTCCTCTGGATCAACTGTGTTTTTTTTTTTTTTTTATGGTTGAACTGAATTTTATTTTTTTGTATTTATTTCAGGTACCTATATAGCACCATCAATTTGCACAGCACATTTTTATATATATATTGTACATTCATATCAATCCCTAACCCTCAAGGGGCATAGAATCTAAGGTCCCTAACTCATACATATACTAGGGCCAATTTAGACAGGATCCAATTCACCTACTAGCATGTCTTTAGAGTGTGGGAGGAAACCCACACAGGCACAGGGAGAACATGCAAACTGTAGGCAGGTGGTGCTGTGGCTGGGATTCAAACGAACAACCCAAGTACTGCCAGGCGGAAGTGCTAACCATTTGGCCACTGTGCTGAATGGACTTTTGTCTTTTTTTCAGACTAACTATGTAATCCACAAGATCAGATCCCAACATCGATGTATTTTAGGTTTTTTGTTGGTTTTGCCTTATCAACAGTTATATTTCTGAGTTCTCCTTACCTTATATTTCTTCCTGTTGTTTTTCTAAAAGTAAGATTTTGAAAACTCTTAGCGTGCATTATGAGCATAATGGGAAAAAGATCTTGGGTCAAACGTCTACGATGTGCATAAATCACGCAGTAATTTTGTATTATAACCCCCCCCCCCCCCCGAAATGCGTTGAGTTACAACAATGGTTATTCCAGTTGCCGTTGGGCACAGCATTATTATTGATGAGGGAAAACAAGTCCCCATGAGCTCAATCTAATGACCGTTATTAAACCGCTCTGAAATTCCATTGTGCAGCAGAGAAAGGAACTGAACAATAACACAATACGGCGATGCGAGATTTCCTCGGACATAATAGCAATCATCAATCAGCAGCAACTTGCTAGAATTAGAACACGCTTAGATGTGTACGGAGGTGGAGAACATAGGCAGGCTATCCAAAGGGCTGCCCTTACCAATCTCGATGTTCGAGTCGAATGTAAGGTCAACTCCAACCTTGGCCGTTCGTGTGTTCGGCCAACCTATGAACGGCGAGGGCGTTCGGCTGGGCTGTTCACCCACAATGCACTGCGCTCTGACAGCACACTGTGATTGGCCAAAGCATTGCACCTGACCACAGATATTTAACCTCTTCATGCCAGCGGAACGCAAATGTGCAGCCTCTCGGCGTCTGAGCGGCCGCACATTTGCGTTCTATTAAAAAAGAACACATGAGCCCTGCCCGCTCCCAACACTCAAGTCTGGTACTCACGGAAAGGTCCCGATCAGGGGCGGACTGACCATTTGGCCAGCCCATCAGTGCTGCCTATCAGTGCCCATCAATGCTGCCTATCAGTCCCCATCAATGCTGCCTATCAGTGCCCATCAATGCTGCCTATCAGTCCCCATCAATGGTGCCTTTCAGTGCCCATCAGTGCTGCCTATCAGTCCCCATCAATGCTGCCTTTCAGTGCCCATCAATGCTGCCTTTCAGTCCCCATCAATGCTGCCTTTCAGTGCCCATCAGTGCTGCCTATCAGTCCCCATCAATGCTGCCTTTCAGTGCCCATCAGTGCTGCCTATCAGTCCCCATCAATGCTGCCTATCAGTTCCCATCAATGCTGCCTATCAGTCCCCATCAATGCTGCCTATCAGTTCCCATCAATGCTGCCTTTCAGTGCCCATCAATGCTGCCTATCAGTCCCCATCAGTGCTGCCTTTCAGTGCCCATCAATGCTGCCTATCAGTGCCCATCAATGCTTCCTATCAGTCCCCATCAATGCTGCCTATCAGTTCCCATCAATGCTGGCTATCAGTGCCCATCAGTGCTGCCTATCAGTCCCCATCAGTGCTGCCTCACCAGTGCACATCAGTAAAGGAGAAATATTACCTGATTGCAGAATTTTATGATAGAAAACAAAGAAAAAATATTTTATTTATTTTTTAATTTTCTGTCTTTTTTTTTCCTTTATAGCGCAAAAAATAAAACCCCCAGTGGTGATTAAATACCACCAAAAGAAAGCTCTATTTGTGTAAAATAAATTATAAAAATTTAATCTGGGTATAGTGTTGCATGACCGCGCAATTGTCATTCTAATTTTGACAGCGTTGAAAGCTGAAAATTGGCCTGGGCAGGAAGGGGGTAAGAGTGCCCGGTAGGAGAGGGGTTAACCACCCTGGGAAGGTGAACATGGACCACCAGGCGTGGACTGACCATTCGGGTACTCGGGTCTGGCCCGAGGGCCTGGGGTCAGTAGGGGGCCCCATGAGATGTCCCTGGTACCTTTTTCATAGGCTTTTTTTTAATTTGTGCAAGGACACAGGGGCCCCATGATCCCCTATTGCCCAGGGGCCCTATGAGTTGCCAGTCCACCCCTGGGCATGATGGAGAAGTATCTGCCTGTACCTCTCAGCATTAAAGACATTATTGATCCTGACCAAATCTCGAAATCTATTTGCAGAAATGCACCCCCAGACTTGCAAGGAACGTCCACCATGCTTCACAGTTGCCTGCAGACACTCATTATTGTACCGCTCTCCACTCCTTCCCCCAACAAACTGCCTCCTGTTACAGCCAGATATTTCACCTTGTGCCTCATCAGCCTAGAGCACTTGCTGACATTTTTTCTGCACCCCAGTTCTTATGATTTCCTGCATAGTTGAGTCGCTCAGCCTTGTTTCCATGTCGGAGGTGCAGCTCTTTGGCTGTAATTCTTTCATGATGACCACTTCTGGCCAGACTTCCCCGGACAGTGGATGGGGGTACCCGGGTCCCACTGGTTTCCACTAGTTCTGTGCTGTTCGCACTGCTGGACATCTTCCTATGTGGAAGGGAAGTAAGCATGATCTGCTGCATTACGTTTCCTTGACCAACCACTGCACCTGCACTTCTCAACATTACCCAACCACTGCGTCTACGCTCCTCAACATTACCCGACCACTGCGTCTACGCCCCTCAACATTACCCGACCACTGCGTCTACGCTCCTCACAATTACCCGACCACTGCATCTACGCCCCTCAACATTACCCGACCACTGCGTCTACGCTCCTCAACATTACCTGACCACTGCGTCTACGCTCCTCAACATTACCCGACCACTGCGTCTACGCCCCTCAACATTACCCGACCACTGCGTCTACGCTCCTCAACATTACCCGACCACTGCGTCTACGCCCCTCAACATTACCCGACCACTGCGTCTACGCCCCTCAACATTACCCGACCACTGCGTCTACGCTCCTCACAATTACCCGACCACTGCGTCTACGCCCCTCAACATTACCCGACCACTGCGTCTACGCTCCTCAACATTGCCCGACCACTGCGTCTACGCTCCTCAACATTACCCCGACCACTGCGTCTACGCTCCTCAACATTACCCGACCACTGCGTCTACGCCCCTCAACATTACCCGACCACTGCGTCTACGCTCCTCACAATTACCCGACCACTGCGTCTACGCCCCTCAACATTACCCCCCGACCACTGCGTCTCCGCTCCTCAACATTACCCGACCACTGCGTCTACGCCCCTCAACATTACCCGACCACTGCGTCTACGCTCCTCACAATTACCCGACCACTGCGTCTACGCCTCTCAACATTACCCGACCACTGCGTCTACGCCCCTCAACATTACCCGACCACTGCGTCTACGTTCCTCAACATTACCCGACCACTGCGTCTACGCTCCTCAACATTACCCAACCACTGTGTCTACGCTCCTCAACATTACTTGACCACTGCGTCTATGCTCCTCACAATTACCCGACCACTGCATCTACGCCCCTCAACATTACCCGACCACTGCGTCTACGCTCCTCAACATTGCCTCGCCACTGCGTCTACGCTCCTCAACATTACCCGACCACTGCGTCTGCGCTCCTCAACATTGCCTGACCACTGCATCTACATTCCTCAACATTACCCGACCACTGCGTCTATGCTCCTCAACATTACCCGACCACTGTGTCTACGCTCCTCAACATTACTCGACCACTGCGTCTACGCTCCTCAACATTACCCGACCACTGCGTCTACGCTCCTCAACATTACCCGACCACTACGTCTATGCTCCTCACAATTACCCGACCACTGCGTCTACGCCCCTCAAACATTACCTGACCACTGCGTCTACGCTCCTCAACATTACCCGACCACTGCGTCTGCGCTCCTCAACATTACCCGACCACTGCGTCTACGCTCCTCAACATTGCCCGACCACTGCGTCTACGCTCCTCAACATTGCCCGACCACTGCGTCTACGCTCCTCAACATTGCCCGACCACTGCGTCTACGCTCCTCAACATTGCCCGACCACTGCGTCTACGCTCCTCAACATTACCCGACCACTGCGTCTGCGCTCCTCAACGTTGCCCGACCATTGCGTCTACGCTCCTCAACGTTACCCGACCACTGCGTCTACGCTCCTCAACATTACCCGACCACTGCGTCTACGCTACTCAACATTACCCCACCACTGTGTCTACGCTCCTCAACATTACGCGACCACTGCGTCTACGCTCCTCAACATAACCTGACCACTGCATCTACGCTCCTCAACATTACGCGACCACTGCGTCTACGCTCCTCAACATTACCCGACCACTGCGTCTATGCTCCTCAACATTACCCGACCACTGCGTCTATGCCCCTCAACATTACCCGACCACTGCGTCTACGCTCCTCAACATTACCCGACCACTGCATCTACGTCCTTCAACATTACCTGACCACTGCGTCTACGCTCCTCAACATTACCCGACCACTGCGTCTACGCTCTTCAACATTACCCGACCACTGCGTCTGCGCTTCTCAACATTGCCTGACTACCGCGTCTACGCTCCTCAACATTACCTGACCACTGTGTCTACGTTCCTCAACATTACCCTACCACTGCGTCTGCGCTCCTCAACATTACCCAACCACTGCATCTGCGCTCCTCAACATTACCCGACCACTGTGTCTACGTTCCTCAACATTACTCGACCACTGTGTCTACACTCCTCAACATTACCCGACCACTGCATCTGCGCTTCTCAACATTGCCTGACCACTGAATCTACGCTCCTCAATGATACCTGACCACTGCGTCTACGCTCCTCAACGTTATCCGATCACTGCGTCTACGCTCCTTAACGTTATCCGATCACAGTGTCTACACTCCTCAACATTACCCGACCACTGCGTCTATGCTCCTCAACGTTACCTAACCACTGTGTCTATGCACCTCAACGTCACCCATCCACTGCATCTACACTCCTCAACGTTATCTGACCACTGCGTCTATGCTCCTCAACATTATCCGGTCACAGTGTTAATGGATCTCAACATTACCCAACCACTGCATCTACACTCCTCAACATTACCTGACCACTGTGTCTATGCTCCTCAACATCACCCAACCACTGCATCTACAATCCTCAATGTTATCTGACCACTGCGTTTATGGTCCTCAATGTTACCTGACCACTGCATCTACACTCCTCAACGTTACCTGACCACTGTGTCTATGCACCTCAGCGTCACTCAACCACTGTGTCTACACTCCTCAACATTACCCGACCACTGCGTCTACGTTCCTCAACATTACCCCACCACTGCGTCTACGCTCCTCAACGTTATCTGATCACTGCATCTACGATCCTCAATGTTACCCAACCACTACGTCTACACTCCTCAACATTACCCCACCACTGCGTCTACGCTCCTCAATGTTATCTGATCACTGCGTCTACGATCCTCAATGTTACCCTACCACTGCATCTACACTCCTCAACATTACCTTACCACTGTGTCTATGTTCCTCAACGTTACCCAGCCACTGCATCTACGCTCCTCAATGTTACTGGACCACTGCAACTACACTCCTGAAAATTAACCAACCACTGCATCTATGCTCCTCACGTCACCCGAACACTGCATCTACGGTCCTCAACGTTGTCCGACCAGTGCGTCTACGCTCCTCAACATTTGTCTACGCTTCTTAATGTTGCCCATTTCTTAGTGCTTCTTCAAAAGAGCTTGATGAATTGAAGCTAAAGGGTAGTCACACAACATATTGATTTGATTTAGATTTTTTTTCCTTCTGTTCGCTCACTTTAAATTTTGTAAATTGATAAAAATAAACCATTAAAATATATTTTTTTGAAAGCATTCTTACTTCACAGTATTTCCTCATATCTGCCTAAAACTTTTGCACAGCACTGTAGATAACAAACTAACATGTTAGGACCAGGAAAATAAGTTCTGTAAAGTTTTAAGCAAAATTCTATAAGAGGAGTGGTTTTGATTAAAGGTGCCAAAAGGTACAGTTGTGCTCAAAAGTTTACATACCCGTGGCAGAAATTGTGAAATGTTGGCATTGATATTGAAAATATGATGGATCGTGCCAAAAAATGCTCTTTTATTGAAGGACGATGATCAAATTTATTATCAAATAGTTGTTTGGCTTCTTTTTAAATCATAATGAGAACAGAAATCACCCGAATGGCCCGGATCAGAAGTCTCCTCCCCCCCCGGATCAGAAGTATCCGCCCCGGATCAGAAGTCTCCGCCCCGGATCAGAAGTCTCCGCCCCCCTGGAATGTTTGGCCTTGGTACAGACACACACGGGTTACGATGCCAATTAGAGGTTAATGTCCCACATCTGTGGCTTTTTATATTGCAATCAGTGTCAGTGTATAAATAGTCAATGAGTTTGTTAGCTCTTACGTGGAAGCACTGACTAGGCTAGATACTGAGCCATGGGGATCAGAAAAGAACTGTCAAAAGTCCTGCGTAACAAGGTAATGGAACTTTATAGAAAAGGACATAAAAAGTTGTCCAAAGCCTTGAATATGCCAATCAGTACTGTTAAATCACCTATTAAGAAGTGGAAAGTTCAGGGATCTCTTGATACCAAGCCAAGGTCAGGTAGACCAAGAAAGATTGCAGTCATAACTGCCAGAAGAATTGTCCGGGATTCAAAGAAAACCCCCCACAGGAAGCCTCAGGAGAAATCCAGGCTGCTCTGGAAAAAGACAGTGTGGTTGTTTTTAGGGAGTACAATATGATGACACTTGAACAAAAATGAGTTGTTTGGTGGAGGTGCCAGAAAGAAGCTTTTACTGCACCAATGCCACAAAAAAGCCTGGTTACAATATGCCTGACAACACCTTAACCACCTCCAGTCCGGCCGTTGTATATACATGGCTGGACAGTGGCAGTGCAGGGGCGGGTGGACGTTTATAAACGGCCTCCCTGCCCCCTGCTTGTGCGCGCTCCCTGATAGTGCACAGCACCGTGATCCAGTGCCCGCTGTGTCCTCTGGACACAGTGGAACACCGATCACTGTACAGGACCTCTGTACAAGGTCCCAATCATGCGATCACTGATTGGCCACTGATTGAAGAGTAGTACACAAGATGTCACTTCTGACATCATTGCTTACTACGTGTGAAATCTGTGAATGATCACTGAGATCACATGGTACAGGGCCAGGGGTGGACTGACCATTTAGCCACTCGGGTACTGCCCGAGGGCCCGGGATTAGTAGGGGGCCCCACGAGATGCCCCTGGTAACTTTCATATGCTTTTATGGGTGTGGTTTGATTGTGGGTGAGGACACAGGGGCCCCATGATTTCCTACTGCCCGTGGGCCCCATGAGTTTTCAGTCCGCCCCTGTACAGGGCTATTCACAACAGCCTTGTACCATATGACAAACTGTGACCAATCACAGCTCTCACAGTAGTTCTGAATGGCTGCAGGAATGCAGCCAGAGAGAAGGAGAAATCATTCCTTTTACAGCCTTTATGGGTGTAAAATCAATCAGTGTAAAAAAAAAAAATCTTCATCACCCCCCACAAGTAGTACAGTGTCACCATGGTAACACTACTGCTAGGGTGACAGTATGTTAAAAAAAAAACCATAAATAATAATATAAAAAAATAAAATAAAAATGTAAAAAAAAAAAAAAATTTTAAATTATAATTTTTGGTTATAAACTAATTTGTGTTATTTTTTTTTTTACTAAAAAGATAACGGAATAATTTTTGGCCAAGATTTATGATGAAATATTATTTATTTGCAAAATTTTATATTTTTCATTTATATACCAAAAAAAAAATAAAAATCTCAGTGGTGAATAAATAACACCAAAATAAAGCTTTATCTGTCTCAAAAAAATGCTACAAAAATTCACACAGTGTTGCATGACCGCGCAATTGTCATTCAAAGTGTGATAGCGCTGAAAGCTGAAAGTTGGCCTGGACTGGAAGGTGGGGGAAAGTGTCCGGACTGGAAGGGGGTGAAAGTGTCCGGACAGGAAGGGGGTGAATGTGTCTGGACTGGAAGGGGGGGAAAGTGTCTGGACTGGAAGGGGGGGGGAAAGTGTCCGGACTGGAAGTGGGGTGAAAATGTCCGGACTGGAACGGGGGGAAAGTGTCCGAACTGGAAGGGGGTGAAAGTCTCCGGACTGGAAGGGGGTGAAAGTGTCCGGACTGGAAGGGGGTGAAAGTGTCCGGACTGGAAGTGGTTAAGGAGTATAATACTGTGATTGTTGAACATAAACGAGTTGTTTGGTGGAGGTGCCACAAAAAAGCCCGGTTACAATATGCCTGACAACACCTTGACATGCCTAACCGGGCCTTCTTGTGTCTTTGATGCAGTAAAGGCTTCTTTCTGGCACCTCCACCACCAACTGTGGGTATATTCCCTCTTAGATTGTAAGCTCCAAGGATCAGGGCCCTCCTATCCCTCTTGTATTGAACTGTATTGTTGCTGTATTGTCTCCCACTATAATGTACAGCGCTGAGCAAACTGTTGGCGCCATAAATCCTGTATAATAATAATAATAATAATATAGGATTATACCTTTTTTTTTTTTTTTTCATGGTTGAACTGGATGGACTTTTGTCTTTTTTCAGCCAGACTAACTATGTAACTATATATACTGTATGCACTACGGGCACGATTTTCTAAAGGAGCAGAGCATGTTCACATTGCAAAGTGGTCATGTTCACATTCCCTGGTCTCCACCTTTCACACCGGACTGCAGGACTTCTCCAGGACTTCCCCCATCCTCTGGAACTCACTACCCCAATCCATCAGACTGTCACCTACCCTCCTCACCTTTAGGCGCACCCTGAAAATCCATCTCTTCAGGGGAGCCTACCCAGCCCTCACTTAACACCAGATCTCCTCCACTCCTCCTATCACTCCATCCCCCACAGCCACTTCCTACTGTGCCACTATCCCCCCCCTCCTAGATTGTAAGCAGGGCCCTCGAACCCCTCGTGTATTGAATTGTTACTGTACTGCGCCATGTATTGTCTCCCATTGTAATGTACAGCGCTGAGCGAACTATTGGCGCAATATAAATACTGTATAATAATAATAATAAAGTGAATTTTCATCTACCTTGGTGGAGAATACATCATTTATATTCGTTCAAATTATTTAAAAAAAAAAGTTGGAAAAAAAACTGGTTAATTAATGTCAGCGGAGGATTACTTTGTGCGTCAAACTAAAAGTAAAAAGTCGTTTTTTTTAAGTGAACAGCGTAATCCCCTTCAGTGTATCGGCCCCCATGTCTCTAATGCACTCTTGATGACCTCACAGCATATTAATAGAGGATTCGCAATTCTTTCACCAGAAACAGCAGATAAAATACCTAAAAAAAAAACTTTAGTTTTAATCTTTCTTTGTCCGACTTTTAATCTCTTTTCAATCCTCAAATTGTAGGAAAATGATAGCTTTGCTCTGCCTTCTATTTCTGTATGTTTTTAATCAATTTTTATCCTTCTCTTAAACGATTCTCGTGGCGTTGGATCCTCAGCCGCCATTCCGCTTTCCATTTCTCTTTTCCTCGTTGCTGTTTCACTGGCAATTGCGCAGCATTAGAATAGAAGGATTGTAAATAGAGCCAATAAAACAGATCCGACGTTTTTATCAACTTCCCACTGACTTGCAGTGTAAAAAACCCGAAGACCAGAAATAGGACGACATTATTTTTGTTGTTTTAAAGAGAATTTAGATTTGTTTCATTTTTTTTTTTTTTCCTTGGCGATTGCTTTGTTTTTATTGGGTAAATAAGAATTTTTTCATATGTTGCAGCAGGCGGAGGGCGCGATAGAGGCGACGGTCTGATATATTTACAGCAATTTTGTTTCATAGCCTTAAGCACGTGACCCCCTTCATGGCCAGGGCATTTTTGTTTGCTGTTCAGCACTGTGCTACTTTAACTGGCAATTGAGCGGTCATGCAACACAATGCCCAAATTAAATTTATAATCATTTTTCCCCACAAACAGAGCTTTATTTTATTATTATTATTATTTTTATTATTCAGGATTTTTATAGCGCCAATAGTTTGGCTACTTTAACTGTCAATTGAGCGGTTATGCAGCACATTACCCAAATGAACTTTATATTAATTTTTTCCCCACAAACAGAGCTTTATTTTATTATTATTATTATTATTATTATTGTTATTATTCAGGATTTATATAGTGCCAATAGTTTGGCTACTTTAACTGGCAATTGAACAGTCATGCAACACAGTACCCAAATTAAATGTATAATCATTTTTTCCCCACAAACAGAGCTTTATTTTTTTATTATTATTCAGGATTCATATAGCGCCAATAGTTTGGCTACTTTAACTGGCAATTGAGCGGTCATGCAACACAGTACCCAAATGAAATTTATAACATTTTTTTTCCCCACAAACAGAGCTTTATTTTATTTATTATTATTATTATTATTATTATTATTATTATTATTATTATTATTCAGGATTTATATAGCACCAATAGTTTGGCTACTTTAACTGTCAATTGAGCGGTCATGCAAGACATTACCCAAATTAAATTTATAATCATTTTTTTCCCCACAAACAGAGCTTTATTTTATTATTATTATTGTTATTATTCAGGATTTTTATAGCGCCAATAGTTTGGCTACTTTAACTGTCAATTGAGCGGTTATGCAACACATTACCCAAATTAACTTTATATTCATTTTCCCCCCACAAACAGAGCTTTATTTATTTTTTTTTATTATTATTATTATTATTATTCAGGATTTATATAGCACCAATAGTTTGGCTACTTTAACTGGCAATTGAGCGGTCATGCAAGACATTACCCAAATTAAATTTATAATCATTTATTCCCCACAAACAGAGCTTTATTTTATTATTATTATACAGGATTTATTTTATTATTATTATACAGGATTTATTTTATTATTATTATACATGATTTATTTTATTATTATTATACAGGATTTATGGCGCCAACAGTTTGCTCAGCGCTTTACAATATAATGGGAGACAATACAGTTCAATACAAGAGGGATAGGAGGGCCCTGATCCTGGGAGCTTACAGTCTAGGATATTTTGGTGTTATTTGATTAGCACTGGGATTTTAGTTTTTTTTTTTTATATATATAAATTAAAAAAAGATAGAAATTTTGAAAGAAAAAGGATATTTTCTACTTTCTGTTATCCAATATTGTATATATTATTATATACTGCACATAATATATTATATTGTTTATCCAATGAAAAAAAAACGAGAAGAATCAAATTTCTTTATAAATTTAGGCCAAAGTGTATTCTGCTACTTATCTTTTGGTAATAAAAAAAAAAAAATTTATCTTTGGTAATAAAACAAAATCGTATCTTTGGTAATAAAAAAAAATCTTATCTTTGGTAATAAAAAAAAATCGTATCTTTGGTAATAAAAAAAAAAATTGTGTCTTTGGTAATAAAAAATCAACTATATATTAATTAGCTTGTGTAAAATTTATACGATCTAAAAAAACCATTTGATATTTACTGGAATTTTATTTTTTTTAATTTATGCAACTATGATTTTTTTTAAAATGTATGCAGCGTTGATGCTATGCTATAAATGACAGTGATCTGGGAGTTATAGTGGGACTGTGATAGTGTGGCGGGCAATCTGGTGCTAACAGACCATGGCTGGGAGGGACACTAACTGACACTGAGGTCCCTAATACAGTCATCAGTTATAATGCTGTACACATTAGTAACCCCTGGGAACATTAACCTCTTGGCGTCGGCCGCATGCAAATGTGAGGCCTCCCGGCTTCTGGACCTTAACGCCGAGCAGCCGCACATTTGCGTGCAATTAAGAAGAAACATATGTGCTGAGAGCGCGTGCCCTGCGCGCTCCCAGCACACGTGTCCGGTACTCACGGAAAGGTCCCGATCTCCTCTTTCAATCAGGACCTTTCCCGATCACAGCGGTCACATGACCGTAAACCCCGCCCTCCCCCGCTTCCGAAACCCTTAAAGGGCAAGGAGGCGCCGGCATCAAGGGGTTAAGGGGCAATCAAGTGGTTAACTGTGCGCTTACAAAGTCTAATGTGTGTAATACGCGCTGCTTTTCCTCGCAGATCTGGCTGTTTTTTCAACTTGCTTTTCAGGGAGAAGAAACAGCCAGATCGCTTTTCTGTGTACACAGAGTCCTGTGTGTTTGTAAACTGTGCTGTGATTGGACACTGACCTGCTGACCAACTTGTGCTGTGTCCAATTGCAATACAGGTCAGCAGGGGGCCATGCGCACTTGCACCTGCTACCCAGAAGGCTTTGACATACCAGTACATTGTCCAGCCGGGCTATGCTGCCCCCGCAGGAAATGTACAATGGCAAGCAGTTAAAGAATAGCTCCAGCCAAATCCTCGGGGGCGGGGATGGGTTCATGCTTTGGTCCGGTTTTTATTTGCATCTGTATCCCTGAGATTTCGTCTTCGCTTCCTTTTTGGGGTAAATTTAAAAACTTTTTGAAACTTAGAAAGGGTGAGAATGCCTGCAAATGTTTTTATGGCTGCCTGTGCCGTCTGTCCCAGTGTCCACCGACCTCTGCATTGTTACAATGTGACACAACCGGCAACAATGTACTCTGAAATAAAAAAGAATAGCAAAGTATCTATAGTTAGATCCTTGTGGGCGGGGCCACTGAGACAGGAGGTTCGCCCTCCCCCCCCAGAGGGCAGGTTAGAAACCGCCAGCCATTAAAGTCGTTAGCCACACTAAGCTTCCTAGGCACCTAACCTCTTCACACCCGGGACCCACATACACTAGTGGTCTACAGGGGCAGACTGACAACTCGTGGGGCCCCCGGGCAATAGGAGATCATGTGGCCCCTGTCTCCTCGCCCGCACTCAAACCGCACCCAAAAAAGCCTATGAAACTTACCAGGGGCATCTCATGGGGCCCCCTACTGACCCCGGGCCCTTGGGCAAGACCCGAGTACCTGAATGGTCAGTCCACCCCTGGTGGTCCATGTTCACCTTTCCAGGGTGGTTAACCCCTCGCCTGCCGGGTACTCTTAAGTCCAAAAATTTGGAAAAAAAAGTGTTTTTCTTATAAAAATTTTGCAAATAAATAATCCTTCTTCATAAATCTTGGCCAGAATTTATTCAGTTATCTTTTTAGTAAAAAAAATACCCAAATTAGTTTGTAACCAAAAATTATAATTAAAATTTTTTTTTTTTTACTGTTATATTTTAGTTTTTTTATATTATTATTTATGTGTTTTTTTGTTTTTTTTTAACCTACTGTCACCCTAGCAGTACAGTGTCACCATGGTGACACTGTACTACTTGTGGGGGGGTGATGAAGATTTTTTTTTTTTACACTGATTGCTTTTACACCCAGGCTATAAAAAGCAATTATTTATCTTTCTCCTTGGGTGCATTCTTGCAGCCATTGAGAAATACTGTGTGAGCTGTGATTGGTCGCAGCTTGTCACATGGTACAAGGCTGTTGTGACTAGCTCTGTACCATGTGATCTCAGTGATCATTCACAGATTTCACACGTAGTAAGCAATGATGTCAGAAGTGACATCTTACTTACTACTCTGCATGTGATCACTGATTGGCCAATCAGTGATCACATGGTCGGGACCTCACACAGAAGTCCCGTACAGCGATCGGTGTTCCACTGTGCCTGGAGGACACAGCGGGCACCGAATCACAGTGCTGTGTGCTCCCAGGGAGCGCACACAGGCTAAAATGGTGGGTGCCATTTATGAATGGCGACCCACCCCTGCACTGCCGCCGTCCGGCCGTTTATATACATGGGTCGGACGGGAAGTGGTTAATAAATACATGAAAAAAAAAAAAATGTACTGAGGTAATGCGCAAGGTTTGCACGCTCTTTTCGTTTTTTCTTTATTACAGTCATTATCGAGCTTCCCCAGCTTCATGTTAGAGCTGCACAACCTTTGATCAGTGTTGGATGAACATCATCAGATGACTTAATTGGTTCTCCTCTGATCCGAGTCCCTGAGCGCTGGAGGTGTTGGATGTGAGCTGCAGCACACAGCCTGTGGTGGACAGCCTCAGCTCTGCTCCTGTGTGCTCTTCTGCAAGGAGGATCTGCTGATATATTTCTTGATGACTATTCATGAACCTCTTTACTGCTACAACCATTGGTCCTTGAGTCTGATCCAAGACCAACATTGCTCTTTTTAGGACCATACCGCATGTATGCAACTTCTCCTAATCATAGACTACTAGGCCGGCTTCTAAAGAATTATGGTGTGACCAGGGGCGGACTGGCCATTTGGAAACTCGGGCACTGCCTGAGGGCCCTGGGTCAGTAGGGGGCCCCATGAAATGCCCCTGGTACCTTTTTCATAGGCTTTTTTGAGTTTGGGCAAGGACACAGGGGCCCCATGATCCCCTATTGCCCGGGGGCCCCATGAGTTGTCAGTCCGCCCCTAGGTGTGACCCATGTCAGCCAATCAACGTTCATTTTACTGTAGTCAAGTCAAAGAAAAGTCATGTCTAATTGCCCAGACTATGGGATTGAACGTTACACATGACCATTACATCTTTTCACCCTTCCTGGAGAAGACCATAGAGGTCTGTGATCCCAGCAAGGAGCTGGTAAAACACCCATGTTCTGCTTCACACCAGAAATCTCTCCTGATCTGAGTCCTTGAGCGCAGAAGGTGTTGGATGTGAGCTCCAGCACACAGCCTGTGGTGGACAGCCTCAGCTCTGCTCCTGTGTGCTCTTCTGCTAGGAGGATCTGCTGATATATTTCTTGATGACTATTCATGAACCTCTCTACTGCTACAGCCATTGGCCCTCAAGTCTGATCCAAGACCAACATTGCTCTTTTTAGGACCATACCGCATGTATGCAACTTCTCCTAATCATAGACTGCTAGGCCGATTTCTAAGGAATGATGGTGTGACCCATGTCAGCCAATCAACGTTCATTTTACTGTAGTCAAGTCAAAGAAAAGTTCCAGACTATGGGATTGAACGTTACACATGACCATTACATCTTTTCCCCCTTCCTGGAGAAGACCATAGAGGGCTGTGATCCCAGCAAGGAGCTGGTAAAACACCCATGTTCTGCTTCACACCAGAAATCTCTCCTTGAAATTCTTCTTCTTTACCTCCTTCACCCTCGTAGCTTTGAAGTTGCGTTCAGAGAATTTAGATCTGTTTCTTCAGCCTCGACTAACACAAAATCAAACCCAATAATAATATTCTCCCTCTCGGAGAACAAATGATTCTGAACGCGAAGAGCCCGAGACGCTCTTGTGCTGCTGTGATTAATAGTGAATCTTGTGTCGGAATGTAGATTGAATTTTATATTAGCATAAATCAGTATTTTCAAGAATAAGAGACTCCATACAGGAGGCTTTTGACATTCAATATCGCTTCCATAAATTATTCATTCAGTTGTTCATTTGCTCGCTGTTCGAGGCTTGTTACAGCAGCTATTTTCACTTGAAAGATATCCTTGGAGGCGGCTAGGAACAATTGTGAGCCATTAGCATTTTTTAGTGATTCAGCATTTTTTTTGGTCTTGAACTAACTAGATACCTGTCATATAAGTACTGACTATGTACATATGCCTTCATTTACTAAAAAAAAAACGACGACGGGCTAACAGTTAAGCAGCCCATAAAGCCAGGCTACAGGTCACAAATGTCCATATCTTTTCTGCCATCCTGTTTTTGGCCAAATGGAATGCAGATATCAAGTCAACTAATGTTCTTGATGTACAATTAGTTCATTTAATAAGCTGTGAAATGCGTTTATGAAACAGCAGCAAAGTGGAAACCCCCGCCCCCGCAGAACCCTTCTGCAATGCACTTGACCCCAGCCTTCAATCAGATTGTTTTTTAGTGAATTCGACAGTAAGTCTTCTTGCTGAGACACCTGAGATGCTGGGCAGCACTCTGTCTTATTCTTTTGATAATCCTGTTGTGCTCCTGGTTTCTTGCTGAGCCACCTGAGATGCTGGAAAGAACCCTGTCTTATCCTTTGGACAATCCTGTGGGGTTTTTCTTTGTATCCCGAACAATTCTTCTGGCACTTGTGGCTGCAGCTTTTCTTGGTCTACCTGACCTTAGCTTGGTATCAGGAGATCCCCGAAAATTCCAATTAGTGATTTAACAGTACTGACTGGCTCAAGGCTTTGGATACCTTTTTATATCCTTTTCCATCTTTATAAAGTTCCATTACCTTGTTACACAGGTCTTTTGACAGTTCTTTTCCACTCCCCATGGTTCAGTATCTAGCCTGGTCAGTGCATCCACGTGAGAGCTAACAAACTCATTGACTATTTATATGCAGACACTAATAAAAAGCCACAGATGTGGCAAATGAACCTTTCATTGCCATTGTACCCTGTGTGTGTCACCTTGTGTGTCTGTATCAAGGCGGAACATTCCAGGAGGTGGAGAATTCCGATCTGGGCCATTTGGTGGATTTCTGTTCTCATTAGGATTTAACCACTTCCTGTCCGGCCCTTGTATATAAACGGCCCGGACGGGAGCAGTGCAGGGGCGGGTGACCGTTTATAAACATCCTCCCCACTCCATGCTTGTGCGCGCTCCATTTGTACTCCCCGCTCCATGCTTGTGTGCGCGCTCCATTTGTGCTCCATTTGTCTGTGTGAGGTCCCGATCATGTGATCACTGATTGGCCAATCAGTGATCACATAAATATTAGTAAACAAGATGTCACTTCTGACATCATTGCTTACTACGTGTGAAATCTGTGAATGAACACAGAGGTCACATGGTACAGGGCTATTCACAACAGCCTTGTACCATGTGACAAGCTGTGACCAATCACAGCTCTCACAGTATTTCTCAATGGCTGCAAGAATGCAGCCAGAGAGAAGGAGAAATGATTGCTTTTACAGCCTATATGGGTGTAAAAGCAATCAGTGTAAAAAAAAAAATATTCTTCATCACCCCCCACAGGGGGGTGACGGTATGTTAAAAAAACAATTTAAAAAAAAAACGATAATATAAAAAAATACAATTCTAATGTAAAATAAAATTTAAAAAATTATAATTTTTGGTTATAAACTAATTTTTACTAAAAAGATAACTGAATTAATTTTGGACAAGATTTATGAAGAAAGATTATTTATTTTCAAAATTGTATAAGAAAAACACTTTTTTTCAAAATGTTTGGACTTTTTCATTTATATAGCAAAAAAAAAAATCCCAGCAGTGAATAAATACCACTAAAATAAAGTTTTATCTGTCTCAAAAAAAATGATAAAAAATTCATATGGGTACAGTGCTGCATGACTGCGCACTTGCCATTCAAAATGTGATAGTGCTGAAAGCTGAAAATTGGACTGGGCAGGAAGGGGCGGGGGAAGTGTCTGGACTGGAAGGGGGGGGAAAGTGTCCGGACTGGAAGGGGGGAAAGTGTCCGGACTGGAAGGGGGTGAAAGTGTCCGGACTGGAAGGGGGGTGAAAGTGTCCGGACTGGAAGGGGCGAAAGTGTCCGGACTGGAAGGGGGGGGAAGTGTCTGGACTGGAATGGGGTGAAAGTGTCTGGACTGGAATGGGGTGAAAGTGTCTGGACTGGAATGGGGGAAAAAGTGTCTGGACTGGAAGGGGGGGAAAAGTGTCTGGACTGGAAGGGGGGAAAAGTGTCTGGACTGGAAGGGGGGAAAAGTGTCTGGACTGGAAGGGGGGAAAAGTGTCCGGACTGGAATGGGGCAAAAGTGTCCGGACTGGAAGGGGGCGAAAGTGTCCGGACTGGAAGGGGGGGGAAGTGTCCGGACTGGAAGTGGGGAAAGTGTCCAGACAGGAAGGGGGGGGGGAAGTGTCCGGACAGGAAGGGGGTGAAAGTGTCCGGACTGGAAGGGGGTGAAAGTGTCCGGACTGGAAGGGGGGGAAAGTGTCCGGACTGGAAGGGGGGAAAGTGTCCGGACAGGAAGGGGGGGAAAGTGTCCAGACTGGAAGGGGGTGAAATTGTATGGACTGGAAGGGGGGGAAAGTGTCCGGACTGGAAGGGGGGGAAAGTGTCTGGACTGGAAGGGGGGAAAGTGTCCGGACTGGAAGGGGGGAAAGTGTCCGGACTGGAAGGGGGTGAAAGTGTCCGGACTGGAAGGGGGGTGAAAGTGTCCGGACTGGAAGGGGGTGAAAGTGTCCAGATTGGAAGGGGGTGAAAGTGTCCGGACTGGAAGGGGGTGATGAAAGTGTCCGGACTGGAAAGGGGAGAAAGTGTCCGGACTGGAAGGGGGGGGAAGTGTCCGGACTGGAAGGGGGGGGAAGTGTCCGGACTGGAAGGGGGTGAAAATGTCTGGACTGGAAGGGGGTGAAAGTGTCCGGACAGGAAGTGGGTGAAAGTGTCCGGACTGGAAGTGGGTGAAAGTGTCCGGACTGGAAGGGGGTGAAAGTGTCCGGACTGGAAGGGGGGGGAAAGTGTCCGGACTGGAAGGGGGGGAAAGTGTCCGGACTGGAAGGGGGGGAAAGTGTCCGGACTGGAAGGGGGGAAGGTGAAAGTGTCCGGACTGGAAGGGCGAAAGTGTCTGGACTGGAAGGGGGGGGAAGTGTCTGGACTGGAATGGGGGTGAAAGTGTCTGGACTGGAATGGGGGAAAAGTGTCTGGACTGGAAGGGGGGAAAAGTGTCTGGACTGGAAGGGGGGAAAAGTGTCTGGACTGGAATGGGGCAAAAGTGTCTGGACTGGAATGGGGCAAAAGTGTCCGGACTGGAAGGGGGTGAAAGTGTCCGGACTGGAAGGGGGGGGAAGTGTCCGGACTGGAAGTGGGGAAAGTGTCCAGACAGGAAGGGGGGGAAAGTGTCCGGACAGGAAGGGGGGTGAAAGTGTCCGGACTGGAAGGGGGTGAAAGTGTCCGGACTGGAAGGGGGGGAAAGTGTCCGGACTGGAAGGGGGGAAAGTGTCCGGACAGGAAGGGGGGGAAAGTGTCCAGACTGGAAGGGGGTGAAATTGTATGGACTGGAAGGGGGGGAAAGTGTCCGGACTGGAAGGGGGGGAAAGTGTCTGGACTGGAAGGGGGGAAAGTGTCCGGACTGGAAGGGGGTGAAAGTGTCCGGACTGGAAGGGGGGTGAAAGTGTCCGGACTGGAAGGGGGTGAAAGTGTCCAGATTGGAAGGGGGTGAAAGTGTCCGGACTGGAAGGGGGAGAAAGTGTCCGGACTGGAAAGGGGGAGAAAGTGTCCGGACTGGAAGGGGGGGGAAGTGTCCGGACTGGAAGGGGGGGGGAAGTGTCCGGACTGGAAGGGGGTGAAAATGTCTGGACTGGAAGGGGGTGAAAGTGTCCGGACAGGAAGGGGGGGGAAAGTGTCCGGACTGGAAGTGGGTGAAAGTGTCCGGACTGGAAGGGGGTGAAAGTGTCCGGACTGGAAGGGGGGGAAAGTGTCCGGACTGGAAGGGGGGGAAAGTGTCCGGACTGGAAGGGGGGGAAAGTGTCCGGACTGGAAGTGGTTAAAAAAGAGCCAAACAACAATGTGATAATAAATGGCTTCTATGATAACCATCCTTAGTTTCTTTGGCATGATCAGAACTTTCAAGATCATGAACTTTTGAGCACAACTGTAATAAATGTTTACTTTTGTGTTTATTACTGCTTTAGTTTAGGTTTATATAATGGTATTTAGGGACTCCATGGAATATTCTTCCATAAAGGTGAACTGACCTTCGAACACTACAATTTGTATCTAAAGTCTATCTTTCACACATGAATGTTAAGTTTAGATGGTAAAAGGATAAATGACATTTTTTCCAATTAAAATTCCAGCTCCATTCTTTATGAATGTAGACCCTTGTCTGTACAAAGTGACATTTGCATTCAGACATTCTGGTATTTGAATCGATCTGTGAGTCACAGAGCTGTCATTTTTTTTTTTTTTTTGGGGGGGGGGGGGGGTATTCCAGTGAATGTTATGTAGACAAAGTAAGCTCTCTTTATTTTTGGTGAATACAGAAAGTATTTGAAGCTCATTCACTATGTTTTTTTACCATTCACATTGCATCTCTGGACCGATACTAGAGACAGATATGGAAGAAATAAAGAATATCACATTTCATGCTTGTGTTAGAAATGTAGAGAACAAAGATTTTGTCAGGGATCTCCTCGATCCCCGCCGCGATGGGCTCGGCGCAGGCGCACTGCTCCACACCCAGCGCACGGGCACTAGGTCCGGGCCGGGCCGCGGCGTTCGAGTTCGCGCATGCGCAGTAGAAGCCGCGGCCGCCCCGCTGGGCACCAATGGCAGCGCAGGGCGGGATATTTAAAGGTCCCTGAGCTGTCATTTCGTTGCCTTCTGGTCTTACCTGCTTCCTGTGTTCCTGTACCTGTGCCTAGTAAGTTATTGACCCGGATTGCCTTTGACCTTGCTGATTTCTCCTGCCCAGACCCTTGCTTGCCTGACCTCTCTCCCTGGATGCCCCTTATTAGATCTGACCTCCTGCTGCTGACCTGGCGTGTGACCCGACGATTCTCTGCCTGCTCCCTTGTACCTTACCGTCCTCTACAATACCGACTCGGCCTGTCTGACTACGCACTTGCTCAGCCATCCATCCATCCATCCCATCGGGGTCACCCGACCTCCTCACATCTGGCTCTCCCTGGTTGGGGCCCCTGGCGAACACCACTACCACTGACAGGTGTGCTCAGCAGAGGCGACCTGGTCTCGGGGTACTACAAAGTCCATCCCCACCATCAGGGGCCCTGGTGAACAAGTACCCTGGGGCTTAGACTCCGCGCTCTGGGCACGCCTGACCAGTGGAGTGCTAGTGGTGCCGCTCGGCGGTCCCTCACAGATTTTCTGCAAATTGCAAGAACCTGTGGGGCCAATCAGATTATACTTTTGACATCGTAATGCATTGTTTTAGTTATTCATGAGCACTCATTACAATGACAAGCTACGGTATATTGTTTTAGGAAAAGATATAAAAACCCTAACAGAGAAAAAACTAATGGGGCTTTTACAGTACCATACCATATGAAAGCATAAAGATGCACAACATGAAAACACTAAATAAAATAGAACATGTTTTATTGTAATTTTATAAAAAAAAATAATCACAAAAGTGGTAAGAGAGACCAATTGGTCAGCCAAAATAGACACATGCATAATAAAGCAGAAAAAAAACAATATGAATCTATAAGTAACAAAAGGGGGGGGGGGGGGGAGGCTCTGGCCCGGGGCGCATAGGCATCACGAGCAAGAGTTTAAGAGCCCCAACAATACCATCAGATACATAAATCGTCAATAGGCAAATGTGTTTCCATAAAGTTGAATTAGTGATCCAGAATTCCGACGCCTTTCGTGGGATAAGACCCACTTCCTCAGGGAATTTAGGAAAACAAAAATAACAGTGCCGATGAGGATGCTCTGTAACACCTGATGTAGATGAAGATCAATATTGGTAGAAAATTCAAAAAAGCCTTATTCAACGGACATCCGGGGGGAACCACCATCAGTCCAGGATTACCTCTGGTCCTATTAGGGAACCATTAGTCCAAGAGAACCTCTGGTCAGATAAACAGCAGAAAGCCAAACCAATGTTTGTTCCAGTTGTGCAAGGCTGCAGTAACCAATCATCAAAATTCAATGATGAAACCCAAGCTTAGCCATATTCACATGGTAAAAGAGCAGAAGTTCCAGGACAAAAAAGAGGGCAAAACCTGCCCAAACAAGAGTCCCCAGTGTAGTTTGGGATGAGTGGTGGACTACAAAGACTGGGTTGGTACCACGTACTCAAGTAGGTTTAATACAAAACTAAAGTTTTAAACACACTTTGAATGGATATGGCTCAGTGAACAATGGCATTGAATTGGAGCCAAAATGAAAAGGTAGACAAGTGGTTGGTGGACTATGAAGACTGGGTTGGTACCACTTACATAATTAATATTGATAGAGAAGACTTAGTGGGCAATAGTGTTGAACTGGAACCAAGAAAAGAAGGTAGACAGGTGGTCAGAGGACTATGAAGATTGGGTTGATACCATGTACATAATTAATACTGGCAGAGAAGGCTTAGTGGGCAATAGTGTTGAACTGGAATCAAGAAGAGAAGGTAGACAGGTAGTTGGAGGACTATGAAGATGGGTTGGTACCACTTACATAATTAATGTTGGCAGAGAAGGCTTAGTGGGCAATAGTGTTGAACTGAAGTCAAGAAGGAAAGGTAGACAGGTGGTCGGTGGACTATGAAGACTGGGCTGATACCACGTATATACAGTGGGGATCGAGAGTTTGGGCACCCCAGCTAAAAATTTTTGTATTAATGTGCATAAAGAAGCCAAGGAAAGATGGAAAAATCTCCAAAAGGCATCAAATTACAGATTAGACATTCTTATAATATGTCAACAAAAGTTAGATTTTATTTCCATCATTTACACTTTCAAAATAACAGAAAACAAAAAAATGGCGTCTGCAAAAGTTTGGGCACCCTGCAGAATTTATAGCATGCACTGCCCCCTTTGCATAGCTGAGACCTGCCAGTGTCATGGATTGTTCTCAATCATTGTCTGGGAAGACCAGGTGATGTCAATCTCAAAAGTTTTAAATGCCCAGACTCATCTGACCTTGCCCCAACAATCAGCACCATGGGTTCTTCTAAGCAGTTGTCTAGAAAACTGAAACTGAAAATAGTTGACGCTCACAAAGCTGGAGAAGGCTATAAGAAGATAGCAAAGCGTTTTCAGATGTCAATATCCTCTGTTCGGAATGTAATTAAGAAATGGCAGTCATCAGGAACAGTGGAAGTTAAAGCAAGATCTGGAAGACCAAGAAAAATATCAGACAGAACAGCTTGCAGGATTGTGAGAAAAACAATTCAAAACCCACGTTTGACTGCACGATCCCTCCAGAAAGATCTGGCAGACACTGAAGTTGTGGTCCACTATTCCACTATAAAGAGATACTTGTACAAATATGGTCTTCATGGAAGAGTCATCAGAAGAAAACCTCTTCTATGTCCTCACCACAAAAATCATCGTTTGAACTTTACAAATGAACATATAGACAATCCTGATGCATTTTTGAAACAAGTTCTGTGGACCGATGAGGTTAAAATTGAATTTTTTGGCCGGAATGAGCAAAGGTACCTTTGGAGAAGAAGGGGCACAGAATTTAATGGAAAGAACCTCTGTCCAACTGTTAAGCATGGGGTTGGATCAATCATGCTTTGGGGTTGTGTTGCAGCCAGTGGCACAGGGAACATCTCACGAGTAGAAGGAAAAATGGATTCAATAAAATTTCAGCAAATTTTGGATGGTAACTTGATGCCATCTGTGAAAAAGCTGAAGTTAAAGAGAGGATGGATTCTACAAATGGATAATGATCCTAAACACACCTGGAAATCCATGGGGGATTACATCAAGAGGCGTAAACTGAAGGTTTTGCCATGGCCTTCACAATCTCCTGACCTCAACATAATTGAAAATCTATGGATAGACCTTAAAAGAGCCGTGCGTGACAGACAGCCCAGAAATCTCAAAGAACTGGAAGACTTTTGTAAGGAAGAATGGGCAAAGATACTTCAAACAAGAATTGAAAGACTCTTGGCTGGCTACAAAAAGCATTTACAAGCTGTGATACTTGCCAAAGGGGGCAGTACAAGATATTAACTCTGCAGGGTGCCCAAACTTTTGCAGACGCCATTTTTTTGTTTTCTGTTATTTGAAAGTGTAAATGATGGAAATAAAATCTAACTTTTGTTGACATATTATAAAAATGTCGAATCTGTAATTTGATGCCTTTTGGAGATTTTTCCATCTTTCCTTGGCTTCTTTATGCACATTAATACAAATTTTTAGCTGGGGTGCCCAAACTTTTGATCCCCACTGTATATATATGTTTATTTCTAAATACAAAAACAAAGTTTTAAGTACATTTTGAATTAATATCGGCAGAGAAGGC